TCCTCCTCCTCCTTCTCCGCCTTCTCCTTCTTGTTCCGAGAACAGAGGCAAGCAACGAGGTAGCCTTTCCGAGAGAAAACGAGGCGTTACCAGCCGACCCAGGCGCGGGCGGAAGAGAGCAGCGGCGGCGGCCAAGAACAGCGAACAACCTCGCCCGGGCCCAGGGAGGGCGTGTCCGCAAAGGGAGGGATAGGAGAACTCGGAGCCCTGACTCACGCAGGGCCCGCGGCTGGACGCCGGCGACTTCTGCCAGCCGCAAGATCCCTCCCCGTAGGCAGCGGCACGTTTGGTTCCAACCGGATCCAGAAAGGCAGGAGGCCCTCAGGGATCTGGCTTGGTTCCTCGTGGAGCACCCCTGGCCAGCGCTCCCGGAGCTCCTGCACGGAAGCCTGAGCCAGGAGTTCACACAGCGGGGCGGGGTGAGCCTCCGCGGGCGACGTAAGCCACGGCCCTTCGGTAGCTCTGCCTTGCAGCACTCCGCGTGCCTCCCGGGTGCCAGCGTTTCCCCCCTCCCCTTGCTGCTGGTGATGGCGCCCGCAAGGTGGTTCGTATGAGCCAGAAGGGACCGAGTCGGCTCGACGCCAGGGGCTCCCCAGCAGCATTGGTCCAGGCTCGTGGCCCTCACCCCCCGCAGGGCCGACAGAAACTTTCCTTCCGCCAGCTCTCACGAGGAGGGAGCCTGCGGCCTGCTTGGCCATTCGAGGTGCCCCGCGCCTCCTGCGATGCTCCACAAGAGGGTAGCGTACAGTAACCAACTTGTCGTCCCGAGAAGGTCGTTCGCCATGGAAATTTGTTCGCTTTCCCTCCAGGTGTGGTCCCATATCTTCCCCAGTGCGTGACCAGGGGAGTCGGAGGGGCCTGGGGTGGGGCCCGGGACCCTCGACCTCCCGGAAGCGCACTTCGCTCCACGATTCGCAAGGAGCGCTTACCCCAAAACCCGCAACCTGACCACCCCTGATGCGGCTCAGCCACATGCTTATCTTCTTTTCGCGTGAAGCCCCCCCCACTTGGAGTCGTTGGCCGCATGAAGTCAGAGCACTTTGACGTCGCATGGCCATCTCTTCTGGGTTCTTTCAAACTCGTCCTGCAGATCACCTTGTCGGCGGGCTCCTGACAAGAATTGGAGGATGTACATGCTGCGCTCGCCCAAGGGTCGGGGTACGCATCCTTTGCTGTCACCGCTCGGGATGACAAGTCCCACTAGGTCCTGAGGGGTGGCGGAGCAACGTCCAAATCGGCCCCCTCCTGGACCCTTTCTCCCTCCAGCTGGGAGCCCGATCCTTCCTCGAGGCCTTGGGAGGGGGGGGGACAACAGGATCGGGAGGAGGGGCGGGAGAGGCTGGGATCACCGATCAGCCCGTGGACGCGATGAGCCACTCCGTCGGGATCAAACTCCGGACTGCCAGCCTTCCTATTGGCCTGCCAGCCTTCCTCGTCGCTGGCCCATGCCTCATCACTCTTGTCAGTAGCGATCGCTCTCCAAACCACTCGACATCGAGTTAGGTGCTTCAGCAGACGACTCAAGCTCTGATGTTGCCACCAGGAAATACGACAAACCGTTCCGCTCGCCCATCGAAGTGCGTCTTGTGGCTTGTGGTGTTCCCTGCTGATGTGAATATTTAACGCCACAGCCGAATTTGTGCGCATGCCGCAATGGAGGCATTGATGCTCCTGGGCTTGTGGTACTGGCCTCTCGAAGTCTAGCATGATCCACGAACCCTTGCAGACATCCTGAATATTATGCCTCCACGCTATGCTGGCAGCCTCCTGCGCTCCAAGGAATGCTTGCCTCATATGGCACTGCTTGACCGTTATGATGAACGCCTTGGGCGCATCACGGACAAATTGGGTCCACACCTGGGGTTCCTTTCTTGGGTGCTTGATGGAGTCCCCTTCATCCGCGCACCTACATACTGTTGAGCCAATCGAGGTCACTCACGGGAGACTCCACCCAACCCCCTTTTGCCCATGCCACGCGTCGTCCAGGAGCTCCAGCAACCGGGGGGTGGCCTCAGCCAGGAGCCGGGGGAGGCACCTGAACATAGCAGTGCTGCTGTGAATCTGAAGCGTCACTTTTCGGGCGTCCCCCGGGACACTCGCAGTGCACGTGTGCTGCTCCGCGCAGCTCGCGCGCGAGAGCCCCATTCAGGAGGGAAAAAAGCACACAGATACAATTAATCGTCGATTCCCTAGAAAATATAGGAAAATATGGGAAGTGGGGGGGAAGACAGAAACCCTGAAAATATGGGGAAACATTGGGAATCCTTTCATTTATGTGTATTTATGTGTGTGTGTCCCAAGGCCCCTTCACCCATGGCCACTCCGTAACTAGCCAAACACATGCCAGTGACAAAAGTTTAGAACTAAAGCAGCACGGGGATGGAAGCTGAAACGCTGTTGAAACAATGCGGGCGGGGCCCGACGCAGGAAGTCTCATGCGCCTGTCAATGTGGCGGAGCCTTATCGCGCACTCGATGCGAGGTGCATGGCAGGCCTCTAGCTGGGGGAGCGAAGCCGTAAGGCGTAAGTTGGAACCACCGATGCCCCGAGCCATGGAAGGATCAACTTGGAAGCACACCTGGGCATTCGGTTGCAGCTGCCTCTCACTGTTGCCACCGGGCGCGCAGACCTATGGAAGATATACCAATCATCGACTGGTCACAGTATACACCTGTGCATGTTGCTAACATCGAACGGCGGGTCTCACTCAATGGTCTGTCTGTGATATTTTGTGGGCGCCGTCCTTTGCTTATCGTTCAGTGTGATCGCACGGTACATATTGTTTTCCTATTTCTTCTTGGGTATCACTTATTGATCCTTCTGTGTGCGCCGTCCTTCGCTTCGATGGTTTTTACAACTTTTCTCCCGGCTGTGTAAAGCTTGGTGTGGCGCGCTGGTGGTTGCCTTGGTCAGAGGCGGTCACATCGCGCTCTGAGAAGCCATCTTGGTGATAGCGAGGGACTCACAGTGCACTCTGATCGTTGAAACTGGGTACTTTTGGATTCCCAGGTCCCAATCTACTTCTAGCGCCTTCCTGCTTCAAGAGCCGATATGTTTTCTGCTGTCTTATGTGATTCTCTTGGCGGGCTTGAACCCAATCTACTAAAGCCGCCTTCCCACTTCATGTTTCCACCTACTTCTTCCGACGGGCGGGTACTTGACACTGCATTTCGCCGCTAAGCCAGGCCTCGTGGAAATTTCTCTCCTAGCGTGGCCGAGTCCAGCGCTCATGGACATGATCCTGGCTCCAACTTTTGGTCCCATTCCGAGTTGGTTAGTTGTCTTGGTTCCCAAGGTCTTGATTCCCTAACTATTCTAACCTTGGCCCCCTCTGGGGGTGAGCTCAATGCGGTCACTGGTGCCTGCCAGAAAATGAATTATAGTGTATCTGCCCCCGTTCCCTGTGATGGGTAGGAGCAGGAATGATTTGTCTAGACTAATGACCAACCCTTTTTTCACTTGTGCGGTAGAGCAGGATGTCGAAGAGCTGTCTAGCACTCTCTTCTAGACTGATTGTTTGTTAGATTGTGTCATGATTGTGAGGCCGTCCGCCAACGAAACTGTAGCCGCAGTATGTATCCAGTGGCCTGTGGCCCGGAAAAAAAAACTCTCTTGTGGGCCGGGCTCAAAAGCCAGTTCCAGGGTCACCATGTCTTCCCCGATGCGGCTCAGGACTCCCGCGAACAGGTAGTCATCCATTGGCCGCAAAATACCTTGGAGGAGGAGGAGGAGGAGGAGGAGGAGGAGGAGGAGGAGGAGGAGAAGGCGGAGGAGGAGGAGGAGGAGGAAAAGGAGGAGGCCTGCCACCAAAACTGGGCGCCACAAAATCTGGCGCCTCTCACATCTGCCGCCAGGCCTCAAGGCTGGCCTCCGAGATGCGCGCCGCCAGGCGCTGGTCTTGCCGATACATCTGGGGTCTGGCAGGCTCCGCCATGGCCTGAGCAACGGCATCCTGAAAAAGCTTTCGGTATCTTACAACTCCTCAAAATGTCCTAGCTGGTTTTTGGGTCCCCGGGGAAGCTCAGGGCGGGTTCCTGTAGAACCGTGCAAAGGCAGAGTAATGATCAATGAGCGCCAGGCTGCTGCTGCTACGTCAATGCGCCATGGACTGAAGGATGGTAAGAACAGTGCTCGTAGTATAGTCAGTGCCCATGCCTGGTATGCATCCGCGCTGAGTCTGTTCCAACGCTGCTGTGCACATCCATCTGGTCCTGAGGAACCCGTGGTGGTGCTTGGTCGCCACGCGTCCTAAGATAATCCTGGCATCGCTCGGACGTGTACATTTTTTCCTTCGGCGAGGACCATCGAGGAGCATCCTTGACCATTTGGCGGAAAAAACACGCACGAAACCGAAAACAACACAGGAAATGGACGTCCGAGCGATGGCCAGGATGGCCTCCTTTTGTTCTTACTAGCTTCGACGACCTGTCCCCCCTTCGAGACCAAATGCTTGCCTGACTGCAAGCCGCGTCGCAATTACCTTGACACGGTGCCGGGCGGCTCCGCCCATCCAAAGTTGAGGAGCGCGTGTGACGTCGTTCCTTGTTGCCAAAGTTGGGAGGCGCCCCCCCCCCCCCCTCCCCCCCCTCCAAAGTTGAGAGCGCGTGGGTTTGCAGAGGCTCAGCAGGAGCTCCGCTACCAAACTCGGGATACCGATGTACATCAGGGATCGATGAAACAATATTGGTGTGTGACTGTTATGTAGGATAATGAAATCTGTTTCACCTTGGTCTAAGCCAAATGGCTACAGTAGAGGTCGATAGGAACTGGGCTCTGGAGGAAAACGCGTCTCGATAGGAATTGGGTTCTGTAGCTCCTAAAGAGGCTCCGAAAAGGTCCGAGAAGCCAACTTACACCAGAGTTCGAACTCCTGGCCCCCTTCGGAGCTTCCTGGCTCCTGGCCTCTGGCCCCAGCCCTCTTCGTGGTTCGTTCCCCCCTCCCCCTGGCCCTCTCGGAGCTCCCTGCCCCCCTGCCTCTGGCCCGAGGCCTCCATTTTCGTGGCTCGTGGTCCGTGGTTCGTCCGCCTCTACTGCGGCGCTTCCCCTGTCCCCCTTCGGAGCTCTCCGGCCCCAGGCTTCCAGCCCGAGGCCTTTCTTTTCTTGAGTTGAGGCCCTTCCCTTGGACCCCCTTGGAGCTCCCTAGCCCCAGGCGTTTGGCCCGACGCCTTTCTTTTCGTGGTTCGTGACTCGTGTTTCATCCGCCTCTGGTCCCTGGTTCGCGGCTCATCCGCCCCAACTGCGGCGCCTCTGTTGGCCCGCATCGGAGCCAACTAGACCCAGGCCCCTGGCCCGAGTTTTGTTCGCTGTCTGTGGCTCGTCCGCGCGCCCTCATCTTTATCCTCCTTATCCTTCTTCCACTCCTCCTGTTCATCAGCATCCGTAGTCATCTGGGCTCAAGCACCTGGCTCGAGCTGGGCCTGCTCCGGGGGAGTCCCCAGCGCTTGAGCCTGGCTCTCTGGCTGCGCACCTGCTGGCCATGGCGGACGACGAGAGCTATGGGGAGGACGCCTGGAAGGCGGCCGGCAGCCCTCTGTTCACGAGGCTTTGGACGTACGACGAGATGTTGACGGTGGAGCGCCCGGGTGGCCGGGGGCGGAAGAAGAAGGGCGTGCACACGGACTTCAAGCGGCCCGAGAACTGGCCAGATGACGTCGAGGTGGAAACGGGGAGCTGGGTCTTCTGGCTGCCGGAGGGGTGGGCGCAGGGCATCAGGACGCAGAAAGAGTCCGGCAAGCAGCTGAAATGCTTCATGAGCCCAGAGGGAAAGAGGTTCTGGCACAAGCCGGTTATCGAGAAGTACCTCGGCAGAGAGCTGCCCAAGATTGAGCCTAAAGTGAAAGATGATGACGATGAGCCGAGGGTGCGCTACGTGACGGACCCCGACGCCATCCCGAACTGGCCAGAGCCGGAGGACGACGGCAGCGAGTGGTTGCCTCGAGAATTCAAGATCGGTTTCCGCCAGCTCCCGCGTGGCCTGCACCGCATCTACGTGCCACCTGGCAAGGAGGACGTCGGCTTCCTGTACCACAGGCATTCTGTAATTGAGTATCTGGCCGGAAAAACAGACTTGAGCCCTCTCGGCACGTCGAAGACCATGACAGCCGTTTCCGAGGGGGCCATGCACCGGAAGAGGAAGGCGGAGCCCATGTTGCTCGCCACTCTCGCGGACTTCACGCAGAGCGCCAGTTTGCGTGCCGTCAAGCTGGGAGGCTCGGCGGACACCTACGCAGCCGCTCTTAGCGAGGCGCTGCGTGGCGCCACGGGGACCCCGGACCATGCTGGTCTCGCTGCAGATGCTGTGGCGATTCGCGCGAGGCTCGTCACGCGGGGGTTCATGGACGTCGAGCTGATCTACGTGAGTTGCGCAAGCGACGGCAAGGAGAAGCACCCGATCGCCGCGGCGCTGTCGGGCTTCTACCACAGGAGGCCCGACCCCTGGGAGGGCCAACCTCTGTACCAGTCAATCTTTCTGCAGGCGAGCGCCCGTGCCGGCGTGGCGTGCGGCCACGCCCATCTGTTCTGGAGCGCAGGCTGCGCCGCCGGGGGCCGGTGGAAGGTGGGCGAGCTGGTGGAGGACGGGCTCGCTGGGTGTATGGCGCTCTCCTCCGACAGCAGCATGTCAGGGAAGTGGTTGCTCGCACCACTGGAGTAGCTCCGCGGCCGAGCAAGAAGTGCCCCGTGGCACCACTGCGCAGGGCACTCGCGCAAACTTAGGTCCTAGCCGATTCGCTCTGTTGGATCAGCTCCCAGCCATGGCACCGTGCGGGTTAGGTGTTCGGGCCCATTCAGGGCGGAGCCGGGGCCATAGACAGCCCGCTCTCCGCGAGAGCTGTGCCTGTACGAGATGGAATGTTGCATAGGCCAGGTCGGAGGGTAGGCCGTCTGCACTGGGCCACGGCGAGCTGGCTGCTCGCAGCCAGTAGCAGGTTGGAGGCAACAGCAGCGGTGCTGCAGGAGCACGCGGGCGCCCCGGCACAGTCCGATCACAGAGGGATGTCGGGTGGACGAGGGGAGGCCGCCGCTCATCCCCCGAGGCCATCAAAACCGCTGGATCATCGGACCGCTGGAGGGGGAGGAGGAGGAGGAGGAGGAGGAGGAGGAGGAGGAGGAGGAGGGGGAGGAGGAGGAGGAGGAGGAGGAGGAGGAGGAGGGGGAGGAGGAGGGAGGAGGAGGAGGAGGAGGAGGAGGAGGAGGAGGAGGAGGAGGAGGAGGGGGAGGAGGAGGAGGAGGAGGAGGAGGAGGAGGAGGAGGAGGAGGAGGAGGAGGAGGGGCGCGCGCCGGCCGATCCCTCCCACGGCAGGCACGCGAGGCCAGGGAGCGAGATGCCAGCAGGCGCCCCCGCGGAAAGCTCGGATCCACCATGGGGCCCTCGGGGGCCGGGCGCCCACAGATGCCCCGAGACACGCTGGGATGTCCAGAGATTCGACTACACGTAAGAGTGAACCTTCGCCGGAGTGACCTTTGGTGCGCGCTCACTTGGGTCCCCCGACCGCCGTGCTC